AATTTAGTACTATTGAGATAACCAAGCAATTTCAACAATGCTTCCCAATGCCTAATTCCAGGATTCTCCTGAAATTGTGATAAGATATTGACTGCATATGTAATATCAGGCCTTGTCCTGTTAGCTACAAAAACTAAACATCCTAACAGATTTCTAAAGGGTAATGTATGCATTTCCGCAATTTCTGCACTTGTAGATGGACAATCTAATTTTGTAAGAATAGTGCCTTTAGCTATTAGAAGTGAAGTTATTGGTATCTGGAAATGTTTAAATTTTTCAAAAATTTCTTCGATATATTTTTGCTGATGTATAAAAACCCCATTCTCATTCTCTAAGAATTCAATTCCAAGTAACGTTTTAGTTTTGACTAATACTTTAAGATAAAAAAAAACTTACTCAGCTGTGAAATTACTTTATCTATACTATATTGATCTTTACTAAAAATCACAATATCATCTACATATAACAATTAATATATAACAAGAGAATTACATTTGAACCCTTATAAACACAATTACACCATTGTATTTTCTTAAAATGTAGATTTTCTAAAGTACTTTCAAATTCACAAAACCATTCACGGCCGCCTTGATGTAGACCGTAAATGGCCTTGTATAATAAACACACTTTATTTTCCTCTTCGATAGATCCCTCTGGTTGGGTCATATATATTTTCTCATTTAGGTTTGTATATAAATATGCGTTCTTTACATCTAACTGACAATTAGTCCATCCATATAAACATACCAGGATAGTGAAAAAATATTCTTATGATTGAAAATTTACTACAGGACTGTAAACGTCATCAAAATCTTCACCTCTTTTCTGCCTGAATCCCTGTGCTACTAAACGTGCTTTGTATCTAACCACTTGATTCTTTTCATTTCTTTTTAGCGTATAGACCCATTTGTTTCCTATCATAGTTTTATTTTCTGGCTTTTCGACTAATTCCCAAACCTTTCTTTTCTTCATTGTGTCAATTTCTTCTTTCATTGCCTTATCCCATTCTTCGGCATTTACTGATTTTCGTGCTTCTTTAAAATTTTGTGGGATAACAATTTCTACGGAATTTGCCTCTTCAGACACGGAGCTAGTCTCCTGTTCTACAAAATTAACTTTCCCCGAGTATTCGTTTTTTCCACTAAAATCAAACTTATCTTTTTCAAATTTAATATTTCTTGCCTCACAATACTTTTCAATATCATTATAGGATCTAAAACGGGTGTCTGTTCCCTCTACATAATAATATATGTCTGTCTGGTCTTTTAACTTCTTTTCTTTGCCAGTTTAAGTCTGATACTTCTTTTCGGGGTAGATATGTCATCTGACAACTTTATTTCTTCTCTAGAAGTTTCCTGTTCTTCATCTGATTCTGCTAATAGCTCAGATTCCTCTAGTCTTTTAAATTTAGTTTTTGATTTCTGTTCCAGGATGCCATTTGCTGCATACAGTTTTTCATTCGAACTTCACATTACAGGTTTCTATTAATCTGCGTTCTTCTGGCAGCCATATTCCTATAACCCCTAGTTTCCTTCGCATATCCTACCATGATTCCTTCTTTGCACCTCATTTGTAATTTATTTCTAATCTTTTTTGGTATGCCAACATAGGCTTTACAACCAAATATTTTAAAATAAACAACACTGGGTTTTCTATTTAGGAACATTTCATAAGGGGTTCGGTTGCTTTTATGACATACTCTGTTCCACGTATGTACGAAACAGCCAAGAGCTTCTGCCCACCATACTTTTCCCATTTTACCATCATTAAGCATAGCTTTAACTGCATCTAATGCTGTTCGGTTAAAATGTTCACACACATCATTCTCTTCTGGCATGTGCGCATTTGTGCATTCAACACTAATTCCATTTTTGGCTAAGTACCCTTCGAATTGCCTGTTACAGAACTCCCCACCATTATCAGTGCGTATACTTATAAATTTTCTATTTGTCAGTCTTTCCATTTGCCTATGATAATTCTTAAAGTTGTAGAACGATTCAATTTTATTTTTCATACAATACACTGTTACTAATCTACTATAGTCATCTACAATAGCAAGAAAATATTTACTCCCACCCTTAGATGGAATTGGTAGTGGGGCACAAACGTCTAAATAAACCAACTGCAATGGTTTATCCGATCTCTTCGGAACAGTTTTAAAAGTTATTCTACTAGATTTAGCAATAATACACGGTTCACACCTCTCCATTGGTTTTTCCAATTTCTGGTAACCCTTTCACGCTTTGATTCTTACTAGTTTCTTAATATAATCAAAATTTACGTGGCTAAATCTCCTGATGCCATAGCATTCACATCGTCTACTTTATTTAACTTTCCAATTTCTGTACCGTAACCAGCTTCCTTTTATCTGTTGCATATCTAAATGGTTTTACGTGATAAAGTCCATCATATCTATCCCAATTATTAAAGTATATCCACATCTTCCCTTTTGAAATCACAAAATGAGCACCTGCCTTTTCTAACCTTGCCTCCGATAATAAATTTCTTCTTAGATTTGGATTATATAACACATTATCTAACTCAATCCAATTTATTCGATTGCCTACTTTTACTGCAAATTTGACGGTACCCTTTCCTAGTACTTTACTTTCACAATTTCCTACAGCTAAAGACATATGTATATCATTTATTTCTTCGAAATTTGTCATTAAATTTCTATTATTACAGAAATGAGTTGTAGCTGCAGTATCTACGACCCAATTAAATTTATCTGCGTTACCTCCTTTACCTGTAGTTGTTACATAATTTTCTACTAACATTAATTCTTTATCTTTAAACTGTCCATTTTTATTGTCTATTTTAAACTTCTGATTTTTACTTACATTTTCTTTACATTGAGCGATTAAGTGCCCAAATTTATGACATCTGAAACAAGGTCCTATTCTCATATTCCCCATCTTTTTCTTAGATTTAGTTTTATTTTCAACTCTATCTTTCCCTGCATTTAAACTAATAGTATTAAACACGCTTACCTAGCTGTCTTCTAAATCGGCGTTTACCTGGCGAAGTCAGCTTTCTTCCCTTACCAATTCTTCAGCAATTCTTTCCAGCATAAAATCTTCGTCTTTCCACCTATAGATCAACTGTTCAATGATGGAGTATTCCTGGGGTAATCTCCTTATTGTCTGAAATCCTTTAAAAAGATCTGCCAAGTTGTGACCAGCTTCAGCCAACTTCTTTGCAGTCATTCTTATCCTGGCGATGAATAATCCTATTTCTTCATTTGGCGTATATCTAATACTAAAAAAACTAAAAAATTCACCCAGTAACTGAATTATCCTTGCTCTTGTTTTGGGTTCGAATTGCTTCTGTAGAATTTCCCATGCTTCTTTACCACTTGAACATTCTTGTATCAGCGGCCTGAACTCAGTTTTAATTCCGTAATATAATGTAGTGAAGGCTCTGTTCTCTCTCAGTGTGAACTTCTGCTTTTCACGCCTTGTTGCACTTTTATCTAATTCTTCTTCTTTGTCCTCTATGAAGCTCCAACAATTTCTATCCAGTAACAGCATTTTCATGTCGACTTTCCATCAATCCCAGTTGTCATGGTTTAACAGATCAAAACCTTCAGGGAGTAATAACATCTTCAATTAAGTGTGAGCACAATGACTTGAACAAACTTCTAAGACAGGTCAGCTTCTTTTCGTGGTAAACGGCCCTCTTCACCTACATTCCTTCAATGCTGAGTTGAACTGGATGACCGATTAGCTGTTGGCACTGGGCCCATAACCCTGTTGGCAGTGGTGATAAAGACAAAGCATATTTTGCTTCCCTTAAATAAAGCTAAGACTAATCTAAATAAAATTCATGCTTTATTCCGTAAATAAAATAAAATAAGCTAACACTGTAGCCTTTACATTTAAAATCATTAAGTGAAAGAAAAACTAGCATAATGCCAACTGATAATCACACAAGAGAACGAGACATTCGCCGATACCGGCGTACATATATATAATACTCGGCCAACCCGCCGATCTTGACGTCATCGGCAACAACGTTTTAGCACGTTAGATCGGCAACCACGCCGATCGACCTCTGATCAAAATTTGCATGTGGAAAACTAAAGACAACAAATTTAACAGTTGATACATGAATACTGTACACAACATTACAACACACTAATATACATATTTATGTTATATATTACTGCCCATTTCCAAGCAATGACAAGTTTTAGAAATATATATATAGTGGAAGAAGAAATTGACGAAGCAGATTTGATAGAAATGCCAGCCAAAGCTATAAATCAAATTGATTCTGATGACACTAGCACTGATGAAGAAAGTGCAGTTAATAATTTAACATTAAAAAAATTAAAGGAAGGCCTAAGCTTAGCTGAAAATCTCGAATCATTTTTCTTGAGTACAGACCCTCCCACTGAAATAAGACAAAAATTCAAAAGGGAGCTGCAAAACTGTCTAGCTACGCAAATAAAATTACAGATACTTTAAAGAGGGAAGAAAATGCCAGAACTTTAAATGAAGAAAGAAATTCTGAAAGTGAAAGTGATCTCATTTGACCGAAAAAACATTCTCAGTTGATTATACTGAGCGGTGACAAGGAAGAAATTTATTAAACTAAAGTTGTGTTAAATTAAAATATGCAATATTTTTAGTTTTGTGTTGCACATACATATATATGATTAATAAAAATTAAGTTGTTTATATAGAAATAAAAAAATATTAGTTTTTAATAAGTTTCTGGAACGTAATCCTCCTTTTTATACTGGCTCTGGGTCTCATACAACACGGTTTTGCACAACATGGCATTTCTAGGAACCTATCTACCAAGTTATACGAGAGTTACCTATATTTATTCTTTGTAAACTTAACAACACAGTATTGTTGATAAAAATTCATTGTATTTACATATTCAAAAGTACTAAATCGAGATTACATTATCTACTCATAAAAATCTTTTTTTTTTTTAGCAGTAAGATGCTACATTAAGTTTTTTTTTAAATACAAGATATAGTTTACCTTGATCACTATATAGAGCACCTGTGCTCTGATCACCAAGAAACATTCTTCTAGCTATGCTACGGCGGTACCAAGCTTTTGGAAAAGCCAAGATTTCTGTTAACCTCCTCATGTCATATTTAAATGATGCAGAGCCTATGTCACAAATAGCTGAAAAAGGATTTTAAAAATATTACATGCATTAATCATTTGTACAGAGAAAAAAAGATGAGATTATAGATCAAAATTAATAAGAAGGAGAAAATTTAATTTAAAACATTCATACACATAATTAGTTTAATTTGCAGGATCTCATTCTTCTATCTTCATAAGGCCTTTTATTTAGGATAAAATTTAGCTTATAATTGCTAAATGCAATGAAAAACTTTCACGCAGTCACCTTGTTTCACTGTGCTTCAAAACATGGTTAAAAACTACTGCAGAAAAGGCTGAAATGTTATCCACTCAGCCATTACTTTCCTAGAATAACTATGAAGAGATGATTTCAGTATTAGTGATCTAGTTTAACAAAATTTCACAATATTTAATATTTGCTGATGTAACTTTACTACAATACATTCATAATTAAAAATCAATATATATATATATATATATACAGATGTAACCTTTCATTTCAGAGTTTTGTGTAATTATACATTGAAATGTTTTAAAAATATTTAACTGTTTCCATTTAACTAAGCTCATTTTCACATAATGATAACCTTAACTTTAATTAATATTAGTGATCCAATAGATATAACAGAAATGGGTTATTTTAATATGACTCCTTTTACCTATCATCAAAGATGTGATATATTCTCTGAAATAAGAATAGCAACATAGAAGCAATCTCACCTTTCTTAGACAGCACATCTTGCTTCAGTTAACATAAAACTTCAGTAAATAAAAATTTCAAAGTTAGTGAGTGCTCTGAATAATAAAATACGTATATAAATAGAGAATCAACTCCTCCTTTCTTACATATATTATCTGTGCTTGCCATGATCTTTCAGAAGACTTAATTTTGTCATATTTCAAAAAAAAAAAAAAAAAAAAAAAAAAAAAAAAAAAAACTTTAAATACCAGTTTTCTGCAATTTTTTTAAACAAGGCCACCTTATTAAAACATTCGGAATACTTTTTTAAATGGTTATATTTATTTTCTTCAAAATCTAGTACCTAAATAATATATTTTTTCATTGCCATATTCACAAGGCTTTTGATTCCAGAAAACTTGGCTTTGCATGTGGCTGACTATTGGACTGCGCATCTTCTATAATCTGTATCTGGGACATGCAATTAAATATATAGCAAGTTGAATCTGTTGAATGACAACCATTAAAGGAAACATACTATACTGATGAGCCAAAACATCATGACCATCCCCACATTTTTTAATGAAGTCATTTGGATGATATGGAAAGCACATGATTAAGTGTGAATGGTAAATTGCTGCCGGAGACGGTAAGGAAGTATTCTTGCTGTAACTTTTATGAGCAATGGGAAAGGATGCTGATCTAAGCGAATTTTATAGAGAGCAGATTGTAATGGCCCAAAGAGTCAGAATGAGTATCTCTGAGACTACACAACTGGTAGGTTGTTCATGATCTGCCATTTTTAGTATTTGTGCAAAGTGGATAAATGATGGTAAAACCAGCAGTAGATGTCAAGGTGTTGGATGTCCACACATAATCAAAGAAAAAGTACGTTGAAGACTGTCCTGCTTGGTACAGCAAAATCGGCACCAGAGAGTGGCTCAACTGTGAGGTACAGCATTTTTGCATGCCAAAATTCACACAATGCGTTACTGAGTAGGTGGTCATAATGTTTTGGCTCTTCACTGTATTTACAGACATTATGTCATGTTTAAAAAATATTGACTGAAACCAGAAGACCATATTCTACACATGAAATGAGAAAGAGGATTCATACATGTTAGCATAAGACCTAATAAAAATAAAATAATCACACACAAAAGGTGTTGCCAGATGTAAAGATATAACAATTCTGCCATGTCTGAGTATAATAATCGGTTCATTAGAGCATCCTTTAAATAAGTGAAAAGACAATGGGGCCTTGGAAATCTTCATGACTGAGGATCAAATTTAGAAGCTACTATCGCACTTAAATTACCAGATGAAGCTCCATCTTAGGTACTGAAGATAAATGGGAGATCATGTTGCTGAGAATCAGCTCCCGAATCTAGAATTCTTACCCAATGATGTTGCATACCAGATTATTTGTGATTTGAGACTTGCATATTCCCATTACGATTTGTATCTTAAATAAAATAAATGGACCTGCTTAGAATTTCATTTTATAAAAATGCAGAGGTAGCTGATATGCACCTAGTATATGGTGTCATTTAGGCATTACATTTGGCAAATGGCAGATTGGGTATGATGGTCAAGTGCATTGGCTGCTTGATTGTTATGGCTTAATTGTTGGCTTAGTATGCTTTGATTGCTTCTGTTTTGGACATATGAACACACTGGCATATGATACCCTCATTGACAATGCTGAGAATCTGGTTGCATGCATTGCAGTAGCTGCTGGGAAGTCCAAGACATGCCCGGAATCTTCTGGAATATTTCAACAAGCCAATTTTTAGCAAAAATATTAAACTTTAATAAACAGGGTATACAAATGTACAAACTTACAGGAGGAGTATGACAATGGAGGGTGGGAAACACATTTCTGATACAGTAAACGGCATTGGTCCCTTGCAAGAAAGCTTTACTTCATAGACACAGAGGTAATATGATGAGGGGTTATATGAATGCAGAGTTAGCCGATATGTATCTTGTGTATGGGGCCACTTAAAAGTTATATTTGGCCAACACTGTGTGTGTGTGTGTGTGTGTGCATTGGGTTTGATGGTCTGGTGCACTGGCCTACTCAATTGTGAGACCTATCGTATCCTGATTACTTGTTCTTCAGACATATGAAAACATTGGTACTTGACACCCTACTGATAGCACTGAGGAACTAGTTGCATACATCACAGTAGCTGCCAAGGAAGTCTGAGATATGTCCAGAATCTTCTAGAATATTTGGAGTTCCATGAGCCAAAGATTTAAGGCCTGCATCACAGCATGTGGAGGAATTTTCAACCATCTTGTTTAACTCCATTAATTTTGCAAATGTCTATATATTATCAAACTACATAGCTGCTTACAAGTTATCCTTTCATTTCTGTGGACATTACCTTATGCATGTCATTTCCAACCCTAGGTTGCCATGTTATTCCAAACTGTCTGAATCATTGTAAGAAGTTGCAATAATGTAAATATGCATAACATTTTTTTAAAAAGGTTTCTATCAATGTCCAGGCTTAAATTCAGTCAAGCCCACTGGCCCCTGGCTCTTGTATTTCTCAATTAAAAAAAAAAAAAAAATCATAATTCCAGCTAGATTATGAAAAGTTTCAAGTAAACTGAGCTCCACAATTTTGTTAGGTAACCGAAGAGCAATAAAAGCAGAAAACTATCTTTCTTGAGCACTTCTTTTAACAGCAAGTGAAACAAACAGGTGATAGCTTCTGAATGTATGCACTTTCTCTTAGAACAGCAGAATTCACTAGAAAATTAGAATAATTGAGAACAAATCCTCCCTTTTAAAATTGGGCTCTTCAGGAAGAACAGTATTTATGGATTCTAAACATTTAGATCAGAAATGTTAAGAATAATCAGTCAAAATAATGAGGAAATTTTACCTTACTTTCTGTATAAAAACCATTCTCGCATTCTTCGTGCACTATACTTTTTTTGATTAACTTATTCACCTTTTGTTTCTAAATTTTATTTCATTGTTGGGATGTATTAGTTTAGCATAACTTATTATTTCTCTAATTATCATTAATTTTCACTAATTTAAAAATATTTTTATATTTTATGTAATAATTTGTTTTTATTTATTTAACTCTTTTCCCCATTCCTGACAGCCTTTTTTACGGCTCTGGCACTTCTAATTTTAGAAATTAGAAGACAGGCTTTATCAACATTCTTGCATATTCCTACTTACTACTTCAGATCATTTACTGTAACTGCATTTGCTCTTTCTTCAATATGGCATCCTTCCAATGCTAACATATTACAATATTAACATAATGCAATGCTCTATGACAGCAGTGCATAGCATTTTAACTTAATGTACTAAAATATTGTCATTCAAAAGCTGAGTTGTCTAGGGATGCTTCCTACACAATTGTAAACCACTTTAAAAATCTTCATCCATCGAATACATAAAGCTTAATCAATAATACATAATTAAATTTACTTAGAATTAGCTTTAATAATGATATTTAGTAATAATACACTATAACACTTAACAAGTGGATTTGCTAATCAACTCGGAGTGAATTAAGGCAGCAGTGAGATGAAATACAAAACAGGAATCATGTCAACACTTTGCAGTGTGAGACTATGATTGCAAGGTCCTTCATTTCTGATGGTTAGAAAAACATTTTGCTCACTTTTGAAGTTTTCTAAGCCATCTGAATGCCCCACAGTAAGTTATAAATTACAAAAGAAAAAAGCGTTCTTATTGGTAGTCATAAATGAGTTTGAAAGACTAAATTAAATTCTGAATTAAATATTACATTTTATTGCCTTAACAAGGAGTAGTTCTTCATTTCTTATTGCACCTCTGAAGCAAAGCAAACAGTTCAAAAATGATTGCACATAATGTAGAGCCGTGTTTCCCAACGTGGGGCCCACGCGACTGTTAAGGGGGGCAATTCGAAAATGGACTTGTTCAGAGTTTAAGGGGACAAAGGACGTTCTACATATGTTTCATGAAGTCAAAATTTTTCTAAATTTTATTTTTTATTCCCCAAAATAAAGAAAAATATAAGTGATGTATACGTAAAACAGTTTTTAAATTATGGTGCATTTTAAATATTTTATAAAGAATTCTCGCTGTAGACATGGGCATTTAAATGCTTTTAAAGACATTTAAATAACTGACACATTATGCTTTCCAGACGTTTCTCGCACATTTCAGCCAACGAATTTATTTTATTTTTTACTGTAGGAATGGCAACCGGTATATTATTCTTTCCTTGAATGGCAACAGCAGCTGCTTTCAGCTTTGTTTATATTGATCTTATATTTATTTCTTTCAGCCCTTAGTGAAATGAGGGGTGCAAGCAAGAAAAAACGTTCGTCAGTATTCGGAGGCATATTTAAAATTTGGTTTCATACCCGGTCCATAAACGGTCAACTTCTGTCCTTTTATGCCAATAACACCTGACCAACAAATCAATGAAACTAAGTCATCTTGAGGCACATTTGAAGGTGGAACATAATGCTGATATTAATTCAGATTCGAATTATTTTTACATTTTAAAGAAAATTTAAAATAGAGTATTATTAAAGTGTCTATTTACTGCTCATAATGCAACTGTTAATCGTGCTCTTGAGGCTATTTATCAAATTTCATTACTCATCGCTTAATCTGGGAAAAGCCG